ACACGGGCCCATCGGCCCAAGCCCAGCCTAGCGGGCGAAGGGCAGCCCGTTCCTGCTCTCCCAGCCTGGTTCTGTCAGCGCTACCCGGCACGTTCTCGCATTGTATTTGCCGTGGGTTAGGAACAGGGACATGGTTGGGAACACAAGCACAGCAGCCACTCCGGTCTGTGCAGCCAAACCAACCAGGACCATGTGCTAAAGGCCCCTCAACACGCAGCAAAACCCATCTCACCACCCAGAGAACGGCCACCGACCGCCCATCAGAACCAAGAGCGAGATAATACAAATGCAAGATAATACAAATGCCCCGGACATAACGTGCAAAGGCCCATCCCGGCACGGGCAGCGCTTCCAAAGCACCTGGCGAAGAACCGACGGTGCCAAGGACAGCCCGAACGAGGCAGTTCAGACAGGCTCTCCAAAGGGATGCACAGTGAAGCAGCTGGAAGCCAGGGAGATGGAAGCACATTCCTCTCACACGCTGCTTCAGGAAATCTATTATTTAAATATTCTGTATAATTTCTTGGTTTTGCACTTTGAAAGCACGACTGAGCAGGGTTCAAGGAAAGCTCTCCATAAACTGTTCGATATCTGGAAAACCCGTATTACAGGAAAGGTCCGCAGGCCTTTATGATCAAGTCACTTTTTTATTTCTGTGCAAAGAGATGATCTGCATTTTCTCTAAAAAACAATTCAGAGAGAAAATTTCTGATAACTAGAGAGCATTTTAATACAACAAACTACGTTATAACAAAATGGATTTCAAGCTGAACTAGACAAATTCCTGCTCAAAACCACAACATTTCCTTTTAACGATCTGGGAAATTAACAGCTGGATCGGCTTATTTAGGACATTATTTTATTAATGCAGTCAAGTCTTTAGCATGAGTCTCAACGGTGCTTTGATTTTTTTATTTATTTTTTTTTACATTTTAGCTCCACCAGATGTTGTAAACGCAGCGAACTTGTCCTGCTCGTGCTATTTAGGTCAGCCAGGGTGCTAACAATATTAAAACTGGAAGAGATTCCCTCTATCCCCAGCGTGCCAAACGGCTTCACAGGAGATGTGCGCAGATGACGTTAGGGAGCGCGGGCCCCGTCGCCAGCCGCTGTTCCTACACACACGGCCTCAGGAGCCGGCAGCAGGGAGCAGTGGGGCTCCTCTGCTCTCCCCCAGCTCCCATCCTGCCCAGGGCTTTGCTCCCCAAAAACCCCGGCATTAGCACACTGCAGAAAGAGGCGCCCAGGACACAAGAGCGGAGCCCCGCAGCGCCTCGGGGCTCCCCGCGAGGATTCCCTTGCGGCCGGCTCCTGGTCCTGGAGGCAGGACCTGGAAACCAGCACCGGAGGCAAGGCCGACTCGGAGGCAGGGCCCTCGGAGGGCGCGGGAGCGCTCGGAGCCGCGGGGCCGCTCCAGACGGAGGAGGAGCCTGGCTGCATCGCCATGACCCACTTATGGACCACGTACTTCTAAGAATAACTTCGACATCAAGCGAGGAGAATTTTCTCCTGCCATCCCCATAAACAGATCCCTTACCCTCATCACGCTTCCATTACGACGTCCCTCGGCACCACGGCCAAACCAATCCCTATGACCGTGCTCGGCGTGAGCGCTCCCCTCGCTCAGGCCATGCAGCACACACACAAGGAGGAATCCTCTCAAAAGGCAGGATGCCTAAAAAAAGCACCTAAAAAAGCACCGAGCAGGGAAAAGGCGTCGGAACACCCATCAGCAATGGGCACGGCACAAGCGTCCTGGATTTTCTGACCGTCTGCCCTTACCAGGCACTAGAAAGAACAACAAGAAGCCGACGATGTCAAACACTCACTCCCCACACGCGCTTATTTGCTGGCGCTGCCCGGCAAAGTTTGCGTGGAGCAAACCCCACGCCCTGGAAGCACAGCCTCCAGGCCGGGATCCCTGTGCAAACAAGGGCCTCCCCGAGGGCAGGAAGCGGGGCTCAACAGAGCCTTTCCGAGCAGCCCCGTCGCCGGAGCCGCGCTAGGGGCGCAGCCGCGATCCCGGCGAACCTACACGCCGCGTCTGAGCCGCCTCAGCCCTCGCCCTGCGCGCGAGCGAGGCTGCCACATCAGTAACTCCGTTGCTAGGGCAACTGCTTACTTTCCATATCAACTGCAAACTCGTTGCTATGGCGACACATACACAAGAAAAATTCCTCTCCACAGCCAAGGAGCAGATGGCCGGGAAGCCGGTGAAGTGCCGGGCTAGCGCGGTGCCCTAAAGGGGACACACGCTGGGGGACAGTTAAATCTCCATGTTCGCAAGGGGATTAAGCCGAGCGCCTGAATTTGCGGGTCCCGCAGCAGAAACAAAGCCAGGGGACTCCTCTCATTGCTCCCGTCCCGTGACACTTTATACTCTGGCCAGCTGTTAATAAATCACGGAGCTGGGTGCAAACAGGGTTGCTGCGCAAAGGGCTCCGCGCTCGGCCTTCCGCGCGCCAAGGGACGGCCTCGCAGCAAGGCGGCGGGAACGGGGGCTGCAGGCGAGGCCCATGGCTCGGGAAGAGCAGCAAGGCGCAGACAAATCCTGGGAGGAAAGCGCCTCTTCCCGGCATTCCCGGCAGCGGGCTCGCCGAGGCGAGGCAAGCTGAAACCTGAAGCGAGGCGGTCGGCGCCTCTGCTCTCTGCTCAGGGATCCCACGGCAGGAAATGCGAGCGCTCGGATGCAGGCCCAAAAAGCTGCACACTATTCGCTGCGTGCCCAAAAAGCTGCACACTATCAACTGCATGTGAACTGGTGAAGGCCCAGGCTGAGGAAACTACTGTGCCGAGGGAATTCAAAAAAGGATCAAGTGTTCAGCAGCACTTTTTTTAGCAAAATCACTGCTAAAAGACGACACAAACAAACCCTGGAAAGCACAGCTATGAGAGGAAAAGCTTCTAGCTTCTCGCAGTGTGTCAACACACATCAAGCAGCAAATGCCTGCAATTCCCAACACTGATTAACTCCTTCCCCCGACACTGTCCGTGCTCCAGAGCCTGTCTCGCCAACATCCAAGGACGTGCTATTTGCTGAACGCCTTTCCCACCTCGAAGCAGCACGACAGAGAACCTCCAGACGCGGGACTTGCCCCGCGTGGCTGTGAACGGGAAGCGCTGTCACAAAGGGCCCCGCTGCAGGGTGCTGCCGCGCTCCCCGCGTGCCATCGGGCGCCCTGGGAGCAGTGCTGGCGCCCGCGGCGCGGCGCGGCGTGCCGAGCGGCCCCGGCGAGCGCGACGGCGCCCCGGCTGTGCTCAAGCTGAAGCGGGTGAAGTGGCTGCCCTGCAAGGCCGCAGCTCCTGCCCACGGTGCCCGCTGCGCCGACACGGGGCCTGGCACCGCACGGGAGGGCAGCAGCGGCGTCACGAGGCTCCGCAAGGAAGCCGGGACAGAAACCATCCGCTGGAAGCAGAGGAAGAGGGAAGGAACAAAACAAGCGGCTGAGCCCAACACAGGCCTTGCCGGTTACGGCATTTGGGAATCTTTAAGCACGTTGTTAGGTTCCTTACGGAACAGGATCCTGGAAGTCCCTTGTGGGACTTACTATTGTCTCGGCTCCAAAGGAGATTTTAAGGCTCTGGTTTACACAAAACAGGATCCAGTTCAGGAACTGGTTTTATAATCTCACGCCCAATCATTCACAGCGGCTCATTTATAAAAGTACTAACGCGCGGCGTGTGATCTCCAAGACACGGAGGGCGGATTTTAGGGAATGATACTAAAAACAAATGTTAAAATAGTTGATTGTTGGGGAAAAAAAGTAAAAAAAGTAAACCTCCAGAGATATAAAAGCAGTAAAAATAAATAAATAAATAAATAATAGATAAATAAACAAAAGCTGTTAGTTTAGGGTGACTGAGGATTCTTCCTGTAGATTGACTTTGGCTCCTACTCCAGAGCATTTACAGCTAAACCACAGCCAAAGCAGGGAGAACAGCACCACCAGCAGAAGCCTAGTTCCAGGGTAGCCAGTTCCAAGGCAAACACAGCACCGGAGCCGCTGAGATCCCGAGGTCCAGGTCACCTGCTGCTCCAGCCAGAAGCTGAAACGTTCCGGGGGCCCCAGGAATTTCAGAGGGCCCCATTCCGGTCCCTGGGCAATTGCAGAGCAAGGCAGCCCGCGACAGGACCCTGCCTGCTATTTACCCCACTACCTGCTGAGAGGCCCTGGTGGGCTGCTATTTTCCGCAGTCTCTGCACACGTCGCCTGGATTCACCTCCATCCCAGCTCCCGAGCACCGTCCCACTGGAAACGGGGAGCGTTCCCGGAGGGCTGCAGGCAGGGGCAGCTCTGCAGAGCGCGGCCTCCCTTCCCCATTCCCCACATGCGGCCACGGGCTCCGCAGTGAGGCCAGGCGCCCAGCGCCCCCAAAGCGGGAGCCTGTCCTGGGTGCCCCGGTGTCCTCACTGAGGGGACTCCCACCTCTAAGCACAGGCTTCTCCCCAGCTCCTCTACAACCTGCCTGGAATTCCTGAACACACAGGAGGGAGCTTCGGTAGCAGAATTCAAGACTACTTCTATTTGTTTAAAAAAAAAAAAAAAAAAAAGAAAAAAAAGAGATAAAAAAGAAATCAGATTACAGCACAGACCAGGGGAAGATAGATGGCCGCTTACATAAGGCGTACCCTTTCACTATACATTTGTATAAGCCAAGAACAGCAAGCAGCCTATTTATAACATGATTACATTCATCTAGTATAGCTGGAAACCATTACCACAGCGTGATAACTAAAAACAATATTTAACCACTATGCATGAAGACACCAGCTGGGGGGAAAAGAAAAAACACACACACAAAGTACTTTCTTACAGATGTCTAGACAATGAATTTAATAAAATCAGAATGAGCCATGCTGAAGAAATGTTGGCTCTCTGAATGTAATGAAGTGCATTACCAGGGACAGCCTAGCCTGCTTTTTGCTGCAGTGACCCCGGCCCGGGATTAGCAGGTGAATTTCATCAGAGCCAGACACGTTTCCGCAGTTTCAAACTTACCTGGCTTCGGTCTTTGTCCACTTTCTTAAAACACTTATTCAAGGATAGATTATGTCTCACAGAATTTTTCCATCCAGTGGGTGCATTTGCAAAATACGGAAAGTGTTCCAAGATCCAGTTGTATATATCCTTTACGGGCAGTCTTTTGGTTGGCGAGTCCTCGATGGCCATAAATATGAGGCAGCTAAAGGAGTAAGGAGGTTTGCAGTTGGGGTTCTGCTTGGCGTCGTAGGGCACGTCCGAGTGCGCGGGGGACGGCGGCGTGTCGTCGCCCACGTCCTGCACGGGGCTGACGCTCCGCAGCACCGAGTCCCCAAAGCTTTTCAGCAAGTTCTTGCTTTCGTGCAGCCAGTTCAAATTAGTCAGTTCTTCATCTTCCATGGCCCCTTTTTCTAATCGGATGGCAGGCAAAGAGAAGTCCAGGTCCTCATCGTCGGGAAGCGCCTTCGATAAATCGCTGTCTTGGTAGCGCTGGCTCAGTCCGCTGGGAACGCTAATTCCCGAGCCCTCGGGCTTCTTACTGGGAGGCATCACTGGACCCATTTAGGCAGAGACTCCTGGGGCCGCAAACCCAGAGTGAGGGGAGAAAGAGAGAGAGAAAAGAGTTAGCTCGTGGCAAGCGGAGCCTCTCCCTCGCCAGCAACCCGGCCCCGTGCGACTTCTGCCGAAAACGAGGGACTTGCAAGAACGCTCGGCCACGAACGTCGCGCAAAATAATCCAAAACCGGGAAAAGGAAAGAAATTTCAGTCAATGGAACAATGATATAATCCTGCTGTGCCTCAGTTCTGTGTGTACGTGAAGCCCCATACAGAAAATCCTTAAGACAAACTCCTTTAATGATGAATATGTGTATTGAATCCCCGAATACACCAATCATATCACTTTAATAAGCATATAAACTTTGAAAAAAAGGGGGGGGGGGGGGAAGAAGAAGAGAAAGGAAAGGATCTTAAGGCCAGTTGCTTCAGGTTAAGTTCTGCTGTTCCCTTGGGAGGACAACACTGTGATTAAAGGCACAGGCAGACACGCACCAAATCCAACTCCAGTCACAGTCGCAGCAAAACTCCACAATTGCAGCCAAAGCTCAGGGACAGAAAGGGTGGGAGGAGAGAAGAGGGAAGGCAACACACAGTAGTTTTGGGAGCAGGGCCAAGACAGGGAGGGAAGCAAGCGCCAGAGGAATAGAGCACTTTAAAAATGTATGTAAACAGAGAGGATTTTAACATAAGCTGAAATGTGCTGGGAACGTGGTAGCAGGGGGAGTCGGGAGCGAACGGCACGAGGCTCCGCGGCGGCCTGGAGAAGCCTGGTGAGCGGCGGCGGCACCGGAGCACCGATTCCAGCGCCGGGGACCCATTCCAGCGGGAGGGAGGCAGGGCCTCCAGAGGCGCCCGTGCAGAGCGACAGGAATGCACAGGGGCCGGACAACCCAGCCTCGGGAGCAGGGAATAGATTCCCTTCGCTCTCCCAACTGACAGGAGAAGTTCAAAGAAAAGGCAGGGCTGGAGAGGTGAAGAGCAACGAGACAGAAATTTGCAGGAGTTAATGAGGAATTTTAAAACTATGAAGCCTCCTGTGGGAGCGCCAACCAAGAGCAAGAGGGGGACCAGTGAAGGTGCATTTGAAAGTCACACAGTCACATGCCCGATACTGGAAGTGAAGAGGAAAAACTACAGGCAGCAGCAGAGCGAGCCACATTATCTACAGGGGGAAAAGAGGAGACGGAGGCCATTCTGGGAAAGAGAAAAGACAGGCGATATTTTAGACCCTACAGAAGGGAAAACAATAAATCGGGAAGGCCACTTGGGCCCTCGTCCCTGCGCACTTTGACCGGGGCGGCCACGGCCAGCTCAGCACCGCGGGACTGGCCCGCAGCTCCATCCCGGGAAAACGATGGGACGTGACGGCTGACAGCAAAGTAATTTAATTGCTATGTTGCTATGGCAACCTGCTGCTCGCTTTCTGTTTAATTCGCTTATTTGCCGGGAGCCTCCTCCCGAAGGGCCGGACGGCGCCCGCCTCCGGCTCCTCTCTTTATTCCCGCCGCTCTGCCCGGGCTGCGGCCGCCACGGCCGCCCGCGGGGCTCCCGCGCGGCCCGGCAACTTTGCCACGGCGGCGGCCCGGGAGTTTTCCACAACAACCTCGAGGGCGAGGGGCGGAGCGGGCCGGGGGGAAGGCGGAATTTGGCACATCTTCCTGCTCGCCGTTCTCAGACAAAGAAACGCGCGGCTACACGAGAGCCCGCAGCTGAAGCGAACGTTGTTAATGAGCTGCCAGGAAAGGCTGCTCCGCCACGTACGTGAACGGCCGCCGCGGGCCGGGGCCGCCGTGGCCCCCGCTCCGGAGCGGCGGGGACGGCGGCGGATCCCGCCCGCCCGGCGCCCGCCCGCACCGCCCCCGGCCCGGCCGCCCCCGGGCAGCGCTCCCACCCTACTGGCCACGGGGGGAGGCGGGCGGAGGGAGGGCGAGCGCCCATTGGGCGCGGCGGCGGCCAATCAGCGGCGTTGCTAGGCGACGGGCGGGTGCGGGGCCGCGCATACCTCCCGTGCCGCGCAAGGGCCGCGCGTGGCGGCGGCCGCGCCGCCTCCCCCGCCGCGCGCCCCGGCCCGGCCCGGCCCGTTCCGGCGGCCCCGGCC